AATTCAGCAGTAGAATCATTCTTATTCAACTGTCTTCAACCTTTACTGGGTATAAGCTCCTGACAAGGACTATTTCTGCTCTCTCTGTCTCTTGGCTTCTGCTGGGTGTAGACTCTGTCTTCTTTACCTTTTTTTTTCCTTTAATTTGTTTTACATTTATTTATTTAGTATATATGTGGGTGTGTACATACCATGCTGCACATGTGGAGGTCAGAAAACAGCTTGGGGGATCAGTTTTCTCCTAATATGTAGGACCCAGGAACTGAACTCAGGCCATCAGACTTGAGGGCAGGTGTCTTTTTTTTTTTTTTTTTTTTTAATGATAATTCTTTTTTTTTTAACTTCTTTTTATGTGTATGCCTGTATTGCCTGCACGTAGATAAGTGCACCCGTGTTATGCAATGCCCCGCAGAGGTCAGAAGAAGCTGTCGGATCCCCTGGAACTGGAGTTACAGACAGTTGTTAGCTGTCATGTGGGTGCTGGGATTCGAACCCGGGTCTTCTGCAAGAACAACCTGAGCCATCTCTCCAGCCCGAGGGCAGGTATCTTTACCCACTGAGTCATCTCGCCACCACTTCCCCTTTTTTAAAACCATGTATCATTTCTAAGAGAGAACTCTCCGCTGCCTGTCCTTAGTGATAAGTGTCATTTTCATCCAATCATAATTATTATGGGATTGAGAAAATTGGGTGAAATACTGATTGAATAACTTCCTTTGGCTTCTAGCACAAGTTATGGCAGTATGGAAATGATTCTTGGATAAAATGATGTTGGTAGTATTTCCTTAACAATTTGTGTAAAACTATTTGTAATTTTCATTTTAACTTTTAAAACTTTTTCTCCCCATAAATAAACCTGAAGTAAATAAATAAATAAATAAACCTAAAGTAAAAGAAAGGTCTTTTGTTTCAATCAATTTGAAAAGCACTGATCAAGACGAAAGGATTGGTGCACAACTTGGTTATGAACTCCAAATAGCTAAACACTCAACTCGCGCCTCTTTTCTGGGGAATACGTGGTTTTTCCTCTGTGGGAACAGCCCCTCCAGGGCGTCCGCTCCTGTTTCAGCACTCAGAAACCCCGACATGCAACTTGAGTTTTATTCCAACAGACCAACTTCCTTATTCCTCTACCATGCACATCAACACAGTCACCAAAGCCCTGGTCCTGGTTGCTCACTCCAGATCAGACCTCTCCCTCAAACCAGCCCATAGGCCATCAGTTCTAAAAGGGACAAAGGGGAGGGGGGCAACATAGGGAAAGGGGATGTCCCCCCAGCAAGAAATCCCCACTCAATCCTGGTCATTACAAGAGTCCGTCGGCTGAAGCCTCACTGTCCCCACTCCCTTTGTTGATATTATGAGACTTACTACTGTGATGATTGATTGTCAATTTGACAGGATCTAGGATTGCCTAAGACATAAGCCCATAGGTATTTCTGCAGGGGAACTTCTAAATCAAATTAATTGAGGTGGGTAAACCAACCCTATATGTAGCCAGCACCATCCCATGGGTTGGAGTCTTAGATTATACAAAAAGGAGAAAGTGAGCTGGGTATCAACATCCTCAAATTGTAAGCCAAAACAAATCCTTCCTCAAGCTATTTGTGTGTGTGTGTGTGTGTGTGTGTGTGTGTGTGTGTGTGTGTACATGCATGCATTTGTGTGTAGGTGCTCATAGAAGCCAGAAGACTGGATCCCCTGGAGCTGGAGTTAGAGATGGTTGTGAGCTGTCCAATATGGGTGTTGGGAATCCAACTTGGGTCTTCTGAAAGAGCAGTGCACACTCAGCCACTGAGCCCTCTCCAGCCCCTCGAGTTGCTTTTGTCAGGTATTTTGTCACACCAAAATGAATACAACTATCAAACTTTTCCTTGCTGAATGTTCAAAGCTATGGAGAAGCTGAATAAAGTATCCAACTACATAACCACAGCACCATTATCACAGCATAGAAAAGAACATTCCCTAATAATATCTAATATATGGTTCAGATTCCAAATGTGCTGCTGGTGATGCTGGGTTGGGTCAGCTGGTTGAAATGTCACCCCACTTTAAGATCCACTGTCCCGTTAGAATCAGTGGGTTACTGAGGCTGCACTAAGTCCTTGTGACTTTCCTATTCAGAGATTATGTTTAACCAACTAGTTTTCCAACTATTGATGAGCCTATTTGGAAAGTCTAAAAGAGAGGCTTTCTAAATTAATTAGCTGGTATTCTTTTAAAAAAAAAAAAAGCTGGGGCTGAAGCTGGGGCTGGAGAGATGGCTCAATGGTTAAGAGCAGTGGAATGCTCTTGGAGAGGACCTGGGTTCAGTTCCCAGCACCTACATGGCAGCTAACAACCATCCATAACTCCAGTTCCAGAGGATCTGATTCCCTCTTCTGACCTCCGTGGGCATTGCACTACACAGGTGCACTTACATACATGCAGGCAATTCACTGGTATACATAAAATAAAAATAATAAATAATAAATATTTTTAAAGTCTTTAGCTTTCTTCTCCCCCCGTGAAGGCTCCTTGCTTATCACTAGTGTGAATTTTCATTATTATTCAATATATCACAATTCATTGTGTGTTGAATATCCCTTATGCCAGGAGCACTTCAGATGTGGAGTTGTTCAGATTTGGGAATATTTGCACAGGCGTTACCAATTTACCATCTCTGCCCTCAAAATCCAAAATACTCTAAAATCCAAAGCATTATGAGGGTCATGTTCACATTCAAAAAGCTGTGCAGCCCAGAGCATCTGGGACTTCCGACTTTCCGATCAGGACTGGCAACTTGTACTGTCATTGTTCTTTTTAGTGTTCAGGCTGTTCCCATTTTAACCAGAAAGAGCTCTTCAACGCAGCTCCTGAGACTTGGCCAGGTCCCTGCTGGTGCTACCTGGCTTTTTGGCACCTCAGGGCTACCTTGTCTTTCCCAGTCCTGGAACCATCACACTTTCAGATACTGTTAGTGAGATGCAACCTCTCCATAAGCAGATCTGCAAGGTTACAGCTCACGGTTTTCCAGCTATAATGTCATTTCCCTCCTTCCTACTGCCTCTCCCCATCATTCGACATTTGCATCAGTACAAGAAACTTCTGGACTTGGATAAAAAATGCAAGACAGGGGGTTGGGTGATAGCTCTGCTGGTAAAGTACTCACTGCACAAGCCTGAGGACCTGAGTTTGGATTTCAGCACCCATGTTTAAAAATAAAACAATAATAGTAATGGGGAGGGGATGGAGCTAGGTCAGCAGCTCCAGTCAGTCAGTCTAGCTAAACTGGTGAACTTCCAGTTCAATGAGAGACACTGTCTCAAGAAATAAGGTGGAGGGTGACTGAGGAAGACACCCAATGTCTAGTTCTAGTCACCACAGGCACACATGCACATACATGAGCATGTACACATACAGACTAAACACACACACACACACACACACACACCAGACACACATACATACATACCAGACACAAAGACACACATGCCACAACACACACATGTGCACACATCACACATACAAGAGCCACACACACTCGGGGGCTGGAGAGATGGCTCAACAGTTAAGAGCACCGACTGCTCTTGCAGAAGACCCAGGTTTGATTCCCAGCACCCACGTGGTGGCTACGAACCGTACTTAACTCCAGTTCCAGGGGAATCCAACGCCCTCTTCTGACCTCTGAGGCATTGCATGACACTCATACATGCAGGCAATACTCTCATACACATGAAATAAAAATATTAAATAAAATATATTAAAAAGACATACACACACCAGACAAACACACAGGCACACACCACATAAAAAGATACACACGCATGTATGCACACACTCATATACCAAAAAGAACTATGGAGAAGACTGTCAGAGGAAAGGAGAGACAGAGACCTACAATGAACTTTGGGACCTTATCAACCTCTTCCCAGTCCACAAGAAGCTTCCTTGTTTATAGTTTGTTACAGTATTGTTTATTCCAAAGCAAGGATTATATTATATGAACTCACTATCTCATAATTCTACTTATGAAATCTATAGCCTATCATTTTCCTTTATTTTATGTTCATATAAAACACTCACCAGAAAAAGTACTACCCAGTCCCTGGCACGCCTGCCCTTCTCTTAGTTGTCTCTATAAAGCACATGTCATTATTTTATTTGCTTTCATTCTCTGCCCATTGGGATATAAGCTCTCTGGACAGCAGGCATTGCTGTTTAGTGTTCTGTTCACTACTAGAGTCCTAGGGTCTGGTGCTCTGTCACTGCTTGGGAATGAGAAAATGGCTTTGCCTGGAGCACAGTCTGGAGGTAAGCAGGCCCTCCCATTCACGTGTTAAGTCTGCACTTCAGTGTCGCCTGCCAAAATCACTTAGCGTCATCTCCCGTGATCCCAGAGCTCTTTTGACATCACCGGCCATCACAAGTGGAACATCATATCATCACTGTTTATTCAACTGTCTCACCTGTATGCAAGCTCCTATAAAGGCCATGCTTATCTGCGTGGTCCCAGTGCTTAGCACTGAAGCTAACAGCACAACCATTTGCAGAATTCCTCCAAAGTCCAGCCAAGAGCACGCCCTTCCCCATGCCAAGCTGCCTGCTGGGCGTTTTCTTCTTCCTGCAGCCGCCCACTGCTCCAAGCCCAGCCGTTCACAAAAGGCCCTTTGACTCCACGGCACAGGCCATTTCAGGAAAATCCACCTCCCCTGCCACAGCACCTGTCCCTAAAGTCACTGTCCCCACAGCTGGGAGGCAAAACAGAGCTGCACTATTCCCCAGGAAACAAGAGCAAGGGCACAAGGCTGCAGAGGCAGCTGGGAAAGCAGTGTGGAAGGCCGAGAGTCCTGTCATCCACATTGACCAACACACGCCTCTGCAAGCAGCCTCGTTGAGGGATGGAGGACAAGGGTTTAAAGGGGACAAGACCAGTCCACAGAGCCTCGTTGAGGGATGGAGGACAAGGGTTTAAAGGGGACAAGACCAGTCCACAGAGCCGGGCTTTGGAGATGGCTCACCTGGTCCTTCCTCTCAATCTTCTTTTCGGTTTGCTGGGGCACTGGACTCTCGGGAGGCACGGTCAGCCGTAGTCTGCAGACATTTGCCTGAAAGAGGTAGAGAGGACAGTCCAGTTAGGACCAGTGCGGGGGAAAAGAGCTAGGGACTCCTGGGCTTCTCTCAGCCTATTTTTCCACAGCAATGGCCTCATTGTACCATACCAATCACATAGGAAAGAGGGCAACACCAGCATGTCTGGTACCCACTAATAGCACCCCATCAGCACCCCAAACAATAGCATCTGCCAGCCTGCTGCTCAAAACAAAGAACTGCTAATAACTTCAGAGATGGCAAACATTTTTTAAATGGATCAAGTTTCATAACAATATGTATAAAATGATCTCATTTCACAGATATAAGCCAAAACGGAGCTAGAGAGATAGAATCCAAAACAAGTGTGGTTACCTCTAATCTAATCTAAATCATAAGCTCTCAAGTGATGGAGTAACAGGGTATTTTCTACTTTTCTATACATTTAATTTTTCTGCAAGAGACATGGATATGCAAATCACAAAGTTTTAATTTTATTTATTATGTGTTCCAGTGTGCATGTGTGTGTTTGATGTGTGGGCATGGGCATGCATGCCACAACATGTATGTGAAGGTCAGAGGACAACTCTGTGCAGTCAGTTCTCTCCTTCCTCCTTTATGTGGATTCTAGGGATTGAACGCAGGCCAACAGGTATGTGTGGTTAGCACCGCTACCTGCGGAACCATCTCATCAGGCCAATCAAAATTTTTTATTATTTTTTATTTTTAAATATTTATTATTTGTTTTTATTTTATATTTCTGTTTTCCCTGCATATATATAAGTGTGCCTATGTCATACAATGCCCATGGAGGCCAGAAGAGGGTGTAGGATCCCCTGGAACTGGACTTACAAACTGTTAGCCACCATGTGGGTGCTGGAAACCGAACCTGAGCCCTCTGCAAGGGCAGCCAGTGCTCTTAACTGCTGAATCATTTCTCAAGCCCACCAATCAAAAGCTTTGTAAAGCTTCTTTATTCATATTTAAATCCATTATTCACAATAGCCAAAGGTAGAAATAACTTTCACATCCCTTGTCAGATGAACAAACGAAATGTGGTGTACACAAACAATGGAATATTATTCATATTTTTAAAGGAAATTAATTCTGATCCATCGCAATATGGATGGGTCTGAAGACATTACACTACCAGACACACAAGGGAAAATACTACAGCTCTTCTATGATGTACCTAGAACAGTCAAACTCAGAGACAGAGAGCACGATGGTGACTTCCAGGAGCTAAAGAGATGGGAGAATGGGAGTTAGTGTTGATTTACTTGGGGCAGAATCTCAGGCTGAAAAGGTGGGAGACTGAATGGTGGCGACAGTGGTTGCAGAACTGCAAACGTACTTAAGTCACAGGTATGTGCTCTCAAAAATGGTAGGATGGGAAACTTCATGTTTTGAGTATTTTAGAATTGGAAGAAGGAGGAAGAAGAGGAGGGGGG